CTACTCACATTAAGTACACACCCATGCACCTTAAATACAAAACTCACGCACTTTAAGCACAGCCTCACGCACCTTAAGTACAAAACTCACGCATATTACTCACCGCACAATCGCACGGAAAACATGCACCCCCACTGGAACTTTTATATATATATATATATATATATATATATATATATATATATATATATATATTACTTATTAGGGGTGTCAATGCGGGCCGGCCCGCCTCATTAGGCCCGCCCCACCGCGGGCTTTTTATTTGGCGGGCTTTTGCGGGCCGGCCTTCGAAGCCTGTGGGCTTGGAACTATACAGCCCAAGCTCGCCCCATATGGGCTTGCGGGTCTCGCGGGCCATCACTTAAATTTAAAAAAAAAAACATTAAATAGTATATAAATATGTTAAAACCGCTTGAAATATGACACCGAAAACTTCCATAAAATCCATAAATCTCGCCCAAATCTCCCGGATCGATACCGCGCGTTCAGCAGAACTGTAGAAGGGTGATCAAAGCTAGGGTTCAACAGCACACTCTATTTCTCTCTTGGCTTCAGATTTTCCCTCTACAATTCTCGCATGTGTAGAATACATATATAAATATGTACGTTTGCTGGACTTGGAGGCGATTTAGTAATTCATAAATATGTATGAATTGATGATTTAGTTTTAGTAATTGTTTGATAGAGTTGGAGGCGGATGGAGACGGGAGAACCGAAGAACTACGTACTCTAGGAATTATTGAATTAAGAATTGGCAAAGGATTATTGAATTATTGGATTTCTACCCTTCTGCGTACTCTTAGATAGTCAGATCTACACACTGCCTAAGAATTAAGATATTATATATATATTTTTTAAAAATATTATATATATAATTTATTTATTTATTTTTTTAAATATGGCCTGGCCCGTAGGCCGGCCTGCAACCGCGCGGGCTCTGGCCCTCCGCGGGCCATGCCCGTTAGGCCCGCATTTTCGCGAGCCTAATTTCTTGCGGCCCTAACCCGCCCCATCGTGGGTGGGTGCGGGCTAACCCGCGGCCTTCGGCCCACTTTGACACCCCTAATACTCATATTATACACACGTGAGGGACAAAGAAAGAAGAGAGAATGAATTCAAAATGTATTGAATTGATGTAAGAATGAGTGATTTTCAAACGCAAATGCCAATGCTATTTATACATGAGTTCTACATTTCAAAGGAGAGAAAATAACACATGGAAATGGAGAAAATGCTACTACGTGGAGGAGACATGCGGCAGGTAGTGGAATACTTTGAACATGAAGTTGTAACACCCCGTGTTACGATCCCTAAAACCAATTAATCATTTAACCAATTACCCAAAAGAAAGAATTAAATCACAATAATTAATTAGGAAAGGCACACCATAGTCCATGGGCCCTTATCCCTAAACCCAATCCTTAGTCCCAAAAGGAATAGAATTAGCAAGCCTATAATATTAGTTCCTAATTAGGACTCCTAAATATATAAATAGGGGACTTAAGAGGCACCTAGAACCCCCACCACAATAATCCCTCACCACACAAGAATTCCCCTAAAGAGAAATCAAGAAAGAAGAAAGCTTCAAGAAAGACCCTTCATAGCCAAGGAATTAATTAAGGCTAAAAGGTAACCCATGTCTCAACAAAACCTATTTTCATAGCTATGATTCTCCTCTGAGGATTTCCCCATATTATTGTGGATTGATTATTTGTGATAGTATTATTGATGATTGGTGGGATGATTCCATGGGTGATTTTGATGAGGAGAGGTTCTTGATAATTATGGTGTTCTTGATGATTATATGACGTTCTTGATAATTATATGCTGTTCTTGATGTTCTTAATGATTATATGAGGTCCTTGATAGTTACATGATATTCCTACCGAATCTTGATTTTGGAAGGTGAATTGTGTTCTTGTTGATTTAAAAATGATTAGAACCCTAGGTTATATCATGGAATTCGTATGGTATTATTCTTGGTATATTGGGTGGGAATTCGCATGATTGGGTGTTGATTATGTTTAGAAAAGTATGAGAGGTTATGTGCCGTATGTTTCTTGATTTTGATCCATTAGTTGTCTACGTGTGCTATCAATTGCGTTTGAAAGTGTCTAAGCATGGTTTCGGGTTCCACAAAGGTTCCTGTGGCGTTTTTGGTGAAAAAAAGTCAGTGGGGGGTAGGTGGGGGTAGGGGACCCGCCACCTACCCGCGGCCTAGTCGGGCAACGCCGGCAGCGGGCAGCTGCCCGCGGGCACCCGCTGCCCGGAATAGTAAAACGCCGGCGGGCAGCCGGCGGGTGATCCCTCACCCACCGACTACCCGCTGGTTTGTACCCCACTTCGGGATCCCGGCTTCCCCGTTTGATGTTCCCCCGACCCCCGTGGTGTCCCAACGGACTCCGTCTATCGTGCCTATGTCTAGTTTGATTTTTGGGTACCGTTCGTAGGTCGTATGAGTCTTATATATTGCATGCTAGAGAATTGGTATCCCGTTGACCTAGGTGAAAGAAGTATGAACCCCTTAGGAATATTCTTAGTATGTGAATGATCACGCATAGGTTTTGTTATACGTTTTCTCCCCCTTCCAAATGTGTTAATGTGGGTTGCATGTGCTTGCTATGTGTTATGTGTGCATGTTACCCCGATTTGGTTGAGATCAATCGGGCTATACGGGCAGTCGGGTGGGCTGAGAACCATATCGGCTGTTAACCAGGCTGGTAGAGACCGGTCAGGTATTTAAATATTATATAGGACTGAGGTCCACTATACGGGCAGTTGAATGGGTTGAGAACCATCCCAACTGTTAACCAGGCTGGTAGAGACCAGTCAGGTATATAAATATTATATAGGACAAAGGTCCACTATACGGGCAGTTGAATGGGTTGAGAATCATCCCAACTGTTAACCAGGCTGGTAAAGACCGGTCAGGTATATAAATATTATATAGAACTGCGGTTCATCGGTCGGTTGCGATCGACCCCTCCGTATTGTGAGGCGGGGCAGGGTGCTGCGGGGCCGTGTCAGAGCTATATGCGCTGACCCTCATGTATGGGCATGCGATTGGTCCTGTGGCGCCAACAAAGTGTGCTATATGATGAGATAAGAAGGATTGATGTTGTGACTGATATGGAAACGTGACCGTAGGATTCTTGCTAGTAAACTATACATGTTTAATTGTGATTATTGGTTGTGTTTATCTATAACTGTGCCGTATGACTGTAGATTGTGTGTACCCCTATTTGTCGAGTCGGTTCCCTGATTTGAAAGTTAGAGTCTCCTAGGATATATCTTCATGCTTCGAAATGACTTTTCGTATATCTATGTATGTATGTATATATATATATATATATATATATATATATATATATATATATATATATATATATATATATATATATATATATATATATATATATATATATATATATATATATATATATATATATATATATATATATATATATATATATATATATATATATATATATATATATATATTGTATTTCAACGCGTTGGAGTGGGTTACCAGCATCTCTCGCTGAACAGATATATTTGGCTTTCAGGCACAGAAGAATAAGTCACTGGAGCGCGCTAGATCTTGGAGCGTAGAAGTAGATAGTTTCCCTTTCGGCCTGCGTGCCATGTTATGCATTTACTTTATTAAGGATATTAGTTAGTTGGCCTGTGCACCTGAGTTCTCCAGCTCAGGTGTGGCATAGCACCCTGTACTCTTTATGTTACGTTTTCGGGAACTAATGAGATTTCACCTTTATTTTATAAGTTTTAAATGCCCTGAAAATCTGGGGTGTTACAGAAGTGGCGAGACTCGAAGAGACAACTTGGAGAAAGAAAATGTCTTCATGGATGAATTTTAGCCACAAATTATTATGAATGTCTTAACAACTACAATGCTACAAAGGATGAAGAAGTACTATCATAGTATAATACCTATAGTAATGTCCACATATATTTATTCACAACACTCCCCCTGGGACATTACTATACCTCGTTAAAAACCTTACTAGAAAAATCCAGTGGGAAAAAACCTGGTTAAGGAAAAGAGTAAATGATATGTATGCATTTATGTGTTGCACTAGCTGGCTCGTTAAAAAATCTTTAATTAAGAAAAAAACATCAAAACTCAATCAAAAGAAAAAGATTACAATTGTTGGTCTTCAAGATCCAATCTCCAAGATTGATTCAAGTTCATGTCACTCCCCCTGAAGATAACAATCTTCAAATCCTACACATAAAAACATCTTTCCAAAAATAAGTGTAGAAAAAGATTTTGTGAACAAACCTTTTGGATTGTCACTAGAGTGAATATCTTGTACGATAATGCTGTCACTCTTCTGAAGCTCACGTATGTTGAATTTTGAGATTATATATGCTTTATCAAATTCATAAACAGACGCATTTATCATTTGTGCAACACAAACTTTATTGTCCTCATTTAAAACATTGGGGATGATTCATTGCATAACCAGTTTGAGACTTGGCATCATGGGAATCAAACAGAATAGCTAGTGCCCAAGTAGCTCATCAAAAATCATATCTTGGTTTCTCACATAAATGTCAAATCTTTGTATCTCGAAGATACCACAGGATATGTTAAGCCTGATATGGTTATCGAAGCCCTACAAAATTAATACTGGCTCACTCCACTAATTTCTAGTAGTGGCAAGACCAGGTCAAATCCCAAGAGAACTAATGAGTTTTGTTTCTTAAATTAAAATGATTCAAAGTGGGAAAAATAGTTTGGAAAGAATAAATAAAATAAACAATAGTTGTAAACAAGTTCAAGATGTTGAATTCTGATTCAATGAAAAAGGAATGTTAAAGATGTGACTTAGATCATTGGCCCTAAAAAATAATGTTTAGATTTAAGTACTTAGCCAAAAACTAATTAGGATAGCCATAACTAGCCTTTGATCTCCCTGATTTTATTGATCCAAATAAAATAAAGTGTAGATGGTGCAGAATTGAGGCACATATCCAAAGCAAAATAGAAACATACTGCAAATCAAATAGTAAGTGGAATTTTGATAAAGCTTGAATTCAAAACATCAGGTATGCTTCCATTGTACCTTTATCTTCATCATTGTCCTTTCTCTTTCCACATATGCTTTTTGACCCCTTCAACCTTTTCATTCTGCCTGCACTTGTTAACTATTCACTTTGAAAAGTTTTTCCCACAAAATGAATATACATCAGACATCAGACATTAATATATTACTGTTGTAGGTATATGCGCATGGATAGTAAGCAAATTTTTTGATTTGTGACAAACAGAAACATTATTATATAACACAAATAATACTGAAAACTTACATTGTTACAGAAAATTACTAAATTTCTTTACTTACCTTTGCATTCTGAAATACACATCCCCTGATCTTGATTGGGCTTTTTGTTTTTGTTTCAGAAACCTCATATGTATCCACTAATCGCACCATCATGACCTTACGGGTGGATTTGAGAAGCAAGAACAAATTGGCTAGACATGAAGCTTGAGGTGTTGTGTTTTACAAATTAAGAACATCAACCAAATTGTATTACCTTGTTTTTGTTTGGCTTGTAACCCGTGTATATATAAGCAAAGGCCTATACATATAACGTGTATATATAAGAAAAAGGTCTGTACATATTACAATCTAAATCGTACGGGAATCAGTAAATTAAAATCCACACGTTACCTTGGCAGGGAAAAGTCAACAAATCAGCAAAAAATAGGAAACAAAAGAGAGTCCAAAACTTAGCCCCCAAGAATCAATGAAACGCTGACGTTTTCTTTAGGCGGAAACTTTTTTCCCATTTTTATTTACCAAATATGTTTGGCTTTATTATAATAGTCGAATAGACGATATGTGTCATTTATATTGCAGATAGGAAACATAAATGTTGGGGCACAAGTGTCAAATAGGCCCATCTACTACTTGGAAGTGCTCAATTCTCCCCATCAACTAACACATAATCTAATTGGACACACTTACCTCTAAAAATTTGTCGATTAGATTTTTTTGCAGGTTACCTCTGCTGGAGTCTGACTTGGCCCGATCACTGATTATGTGGCAATGATGGCATGGCAATGAAATAACAAAATTTGATGACATGACAATTAAATAACAAAATTAACCCATTAATTTGAAACCCTAAATCCGCCCTTCAACGCTTGAGAATTCGACAAGTGAAAAAGCAGAAAGCCTTTATACGAAACCGCCAGTGAGAGCCTACAACGAGATAGAAACCGAAGACAGTGCAGAAGGCGTGCAGAATAGACGCAGTTCATTCACTGTTCTAGACGCAGACGCAGCGCATACGAAACTGAAGACAGCGCCGATTCTGAAGACTTCGACAGTGCATCCGAGGAAGAAAAGTTGCGCTGCACCACCATCCTTCCGCGTCGATTAGCTTGTGCAAGTAGGTAAGTTGTGCATTATTCTAAAGAATTCTAGTTCAAATAACTAGTCCAATGATTTCTGTTCTGTAAAGTGGTGGTTGTGGTCCTGCATATTGTTCTGTCCAATGAAGTTGTGGTCCTTCTTTTGTTGAGAATAAATATGCTTATTGTACTGTCTGAAGCTTAAAAAGTGTGTTTGCTGTCCTGCTTTTGTGTATAATATGTCGGGTAAAGCTATTGTGAGGGTCCTACAAAACACAAGTCATAAAGTATATTATTTGATTGTTGTGATTTATAAATTGTGCATTTAATAATTGTGATAAAATATGTGAAAAAGATGTGTTGATAGATTACTTTTGTTTGTTTGCTTATTGTATTTACTTATTCTATTTCAGGATGTCTAATTCTATAGAATTACTTATTCACCATGGTGGTAACTTTACAAAAAATCCTAGGCTTATGTATGTAGGAGGAGAAGTAGAATATGTAGTAATTGACCCAGACTTGGTATGTTATCCACATCTGATGAAGTATATTAAAGAGCAAAGATATGATAAAATTGTATCGCTAACTTACAAATTACCTAAAGAATCCTTTAAGGAATTGAAGCTTTTAAATGATGATGCCAGCAGTATGCACTTAGTTCAGATTACATTGAAAGGTAGGAAGTGTGAGATATATGTTGAACATGGGCTAGATTATCCAGAATTGGTTTCTATTATGCCTTTACCTGGTCCTGAAATTGCAGAAAAAGAAAATAGGCCTGAATATGGGTGTTTGAGTGACATAGAATTGGACTTTGAGGGGTTTGACTTTGGGAATGAGGCTGAATTAGGAACTGATGGTGGGCAGTTGGTTCAGATGTTGAAATTGATTGTGGGGGAGAAAGTGAGGGTGGGTTTGATTGTGGGGAAGAAAGTGAGGGTGGGCCTGATGAAGAGGGTATGGGTAGGCAACTTGAAACCACTCATGTAGATGTCAATGAAGGGAATGAGAGTGTTTACTATGATTCTGATGATCCACCCACCATTCAAGAAGAAAATGAGAATGATGTTGGTGAAGAGGTCCAATCCACTATTAATAAATGCAAATACCCAACATATAAATGATATAATCCTAAGTCTGATCCACCTACCATTGAGTTGGGTGTGCTGTTTGATGATAATGTGCAATTTAAAAATGCAATGATAAGTTATGCAATACACAATAAAAGAGATATTTATTGAAAAAAAATGAACCTAAATATGTAAGGACAGTGTACTGGGGAGGGGTGTCCTTTCTACTGTAGTGCTGGGTGGGAAGACAGATACAAATGTTTTCAAGTCAAGTCAATAAATCAGGACCATAGATGCAATTCAAAATACAAGCTAAGGGTTGTGAGTCAAAAGTGGTTAGTTGATAAATTAGAGGACAAAGTCAGGAAGGATCCTTGCATTGGATTTACTCAGCTGAAGAATGACGTAAAGGCAGATTTGAAGCTAAATATTACAATCAGCATGGCTAGAAGGACTATAACAGGAATTCTAAAAAACTAGATGCAGGCTATGAAGGGCAGTTTAAAAGAGTAAGAGATTATACTCAAGAATGTCTCAACTCAAATCCAGGTAGCACTGTCAAGATTGAAACATGTAAGGTTGTTCCTGATGCTCCCTGTGTATTTCAGAGAATTTATGTTTGTTTTGGTGCTTGTAAATGAGGGTTTTTAGAAGGTTGTAGGAAGGTGATTGGGTTAGATGGGTGCTTCTTGAAAGATATGTTGAAGGGAGAGATATTAACTGCTGTTGGTAGAGATGGAAACAACCAGATGTATCCTATAGCTTGGGCTATTGTTGAGATAGAGAATAACTCATCGTGGAAATGGTTTCTAGAGTTATTGAAGGCAGATCTTGGGATGTGGGACAGCAGCCATTGGACATTAATGAGTGATCAACAAAAGGTAATAGTTTATACTTTATATTCTGTTTTAATCCATCATTTTATGCTTCATATTCTGAAAATTCTGCTTTATTCCATCACTTCATACCTCTGTTTTATTAAGTTTTAATCAATAAGTTCATTGGTTTATATTGTGTTTGTTTCATGTAGGGACTGAGTAATATAATTGCAGAATTATTTCCAGGAATTGAACATTGGAATTGTGCAAGGCATGTTCATGCTAATTGGTGTAACAGTCATAGAGACAAGGTCTTGAAAAAGCATTTCTGGCAGTGTGCTAAGGCAACCACATAAGCACAACTTGAAGAAGAACTGAAGGCATTAGAGAAAATTGATGTGAATGCAAGAAAAGACTTAGGCAAATACCCAATGAAGTTGTGGTGTAAGGAATTTTTTAGGATAGAGGTGAAGTGTGACATAGTGGACAATAATCTTTCAGAAGCCTTCAACAACACACTCTTAAAGGCTAGGTCAAAACCAATAGTTTCCATGTTAGAGGACATCAGAGTTGGAGTGATGAAGAGGATTGCTGCCAAGAAGAGTTCTGTTGAAAAGTGGGGTGGGCAATTTGGATCATTTATCATGAAGAAATTAAATGAGAATATTGTTGAGAGTGTAGGTTGGGAGGTGGACTTCAATGGTGATGATGGGCATGAGATAAAGAAGGGAAGACATCAGTTTAAGGTGAGCATAGAAAGGAGTTGTTCTTGCAGGGCTTGGGATCTGGCTGGTATCCCATGTGCACATGCAATCTGTGCTATCTTTGACAAAGAAAGACAACCAGAAGACTTTGTTCATGCTTGGTATTCCAATGATGTGTATATCAAAACTTATACACATGTCATTCAACCCTTAAATGGTGAGCTTTTTTTGGCCAAAAACTCAAAGTGAGAAGATACATGCACCTGCTCCCAAAAAGATGACTGGGAGGCCAAAGAAAAGAAGAAAGCTAGAAGAATCAGAACCAAAGCCTTCACAGTCCACTACACATTTGTCTAGAAAGGGAAGAGTCATGACTTGTGCATTGTGTAAGCAAAAGGGACACAACAAACGTTACTGTCCAATTTAACCTAGCCAGACTGCAAGTTCTACTGCTACTACTAGAAGAGGAGGGACTACTAGAGGTGGTGGAAGAGGAAGCACTACTAGATCTCAAGTTGGGCTTGGTGTATATACAAACCCACACACTGGAGAAGTAACATTCAATATAAGTACATAATGCTCTTTAGCTTTGCAATGTTGCCTTAGTTTTGAAATAATTAACAATTTCTGTTATTTTTGTGTAGCGTGGAACACCAACTAAAAGAGTCATATATAAACCTAGAAGGGGGAGAAACAACACATCTACAAAAAGATCAAGTACCATTGCTGGAAGTTCAAGTGGAGCAAATTCACAGTGTTGACCTTCTTCAATTGTAGTCCTTTAAGTTTGATTAGTTACTAGATGGTGACTTTTGGCAGTTTATGTATGTAATACTGTTTGTGTGTTTTGGCAATGTAACAATGTGCAGAACAAATGCTTCTAGTCATTTTTAGTCTAAATTTCTTGCTATTTTTTATGTTGAATGTATTGGTAGCAAAATGGCATTGACAAATATAGTGAATATTTCTAGAATTCTATGAGCATAAATGAATGGAGATACTTTTCACAGCTTTTAACTCAAGAATTGAGATTGAAAAGGATTATCTATTCCATATCTATCTCTCCAGTGTCTACCCATAATATGTACTGCTAGATCACTCAATATTCATCCATTCTAGATGGCATATGTACTGCCAAATATAGTAGTCCAATATAGATGGCATATGTATTGCCCAGGATTTTGCCAATTTCACTAATAGTCATTGCACTCAAAAGCAAACTGCTAATGGTCATTGCATTCAAAAGCAAACTGCACATATGTTACAACATTCAATCAAAACAATCAAAATGAATAAACAAAAAAATTAATGGTAGATTTCATTAACATAAAGTGAGTTGATTCACAAGAGATGAAGAATACAGTTATCAAATTTCATTACAAACTGTTAAATTGGCATGGCAAAACCACTAACCAATTGCATTACAAAACAAGGTCTTGCATTACAAAAAAATTCTAAATACTACAAAGTCTTATTACTACAACATAATCTTAAGGGAAAAAAAAACACAATTACAACCAAAATCAAGACACACTTCATGCTTTGAGAGCAACTGCTTTTTCTTCTCCTTCAGTTCTTTCTCACAATGATTTATTTTAATTTGTAACTGCTTCAATTCTGTTTCAGCAGTTCCAACAGCAACTTTGGCATCCCTTAGTTGATCTTTAAGACATTTCTCCTCATTGTTTACCTCATACTCCTTCTCGTACTCTTCAAGACTCTTAGAAAGATCCTGAACACTTTTCTTGAGATCAGATGCTCCTGCCTCAGCATTTCGAACATCAGCAGCCTTCTCTTCTGCTAATTGTTTCAACTCTTCAAGATTTGTCTTAATCTGGAAAGTGGAAACATCCAAAAAAAAATGAATGATCTAATATCCAAGTGCAAAAAATGATAAAAAGACATTTTAAACATGTTCAAAAGAACAAATAATTTCTATGGGCTTTCACCCTTCATACCTTTTTAGCATTATCTTTCTTAGTAGCAAGAATATCCTCTTTATTTTACATCACAGAGGTTTCTTTCAGCAAATTACGCGAAAGAGCATCAACTTTTTCAGACAAACGTTTCAATTCCCCACCCATACTTGCTTCTTTTTCGGCCTGCAAGTTATGATGATTTCTTTTCCAAAAGTTTTACTTCTTTACGCATCTTATCTGCATTACTATCAATTTCATTGGACTGAAGAACGAAGAAATGAAGAACCCAAGAACGGCGAACAAAGAAACGATGAACGAAGAACGAGGAACGGAGAACGGAAATGAAGAAAGGAAATTATTTCGTTCGACTAGGGTTCTCTGGAGATTAAGAAATAAACGTTGGTCCCAAAGGGGGTGTGGTAAAAGTCTAGAGGGGGGGGGGGTGAATAGACTTTTAAACCGTTTTCGCAAATACAACAATTATTGAGGCGATAGAGAAACCAAAACTCTTAACTAGATTGTTAGAGTCTTGTACGCTGCGGAATAAATAAATAAGCGTTGTGTGATTGTGTCAAGTATATTCACGTGAAGCAAGTAAGTAAATAAAGCAGTAAATGACACAAGGCAATTTATAGTGGTTCGGAGGTGATGTAATCCTCCTAGTCCACTTGCTCTTATCGTCCAAGAGCAATTCACTATATCCACCACTTCTTGGTTCCTAGATACAATGAATTTCCGTGATCTAGTGCTTTGATCACTAAGCCCACACTAATCACGCCCAGTGCCGCCAACACTGCTACTTCAGATTTCACAACTCTGTCCTACTTTCACAGGATTTCACAGCTCCGTGCTACTCCCCCCCCCCCCCCCCACCCCGTCTTCCACGATCCGGTCAACGTATCCCTTTGATCTAGTGCTTTGATCACCAAGCCTGCACTAATCACGCCCAGTGCCTCCGACACTGCTGCTTCGGATCTCACAACTCCGTGTGACAATCCAGGATTTCACAACTCCGTATTACTTTCCTCCCTTCCTACACTCCCGTAGGAATATCACTTGTTTGTAGAAAAACAAGTTTCTCTTGCTTCCAACTTAGAGACTTCTTGATGGATTCTTCAGTGTACAGCAAGTCTCTCAATGATGAAGATTTTAAGCACTCTTGAATATTTTCTCTATGAGCTCTGAGTGTTTATCTCACTTGAATATTTTCTCACTTTTGAGTATAGCACTTGTTCGTATGAATCTGTTCGTTGCTTGTGTTGGAAGTGCTTTGATCTGCTTCAATCTTCATCCTTTTATAGCTGGCTTTGAGAATTTGTCCGATGGAAAAAGACAATCTCAAATTTGAATTGTAGATCTCAAATTTGAATTCTTATAGCCTTTGCAGAGGATCTGTAGCTTTTTCAGAAGATCTTATCTCAAAAATAATGTCTCTGACATTTGAGATATTTTAGTCGTTGCTAGCTGGTAGTCCATGTGAAGAGACTCTTAAAATAATTCTGATGTAGATCATGTCTTCTGGGACTTTCATCTTCTGAGTATTTTAATCTCACAGAGTGGGCTACTGATGAAGTTGTTCTTTCTCGTGTTCAGCCAATGAGATCTCTTTGATCTAGGTCTCATACTGGTGGTGAGATTTCAATCCTTGATTGAAACTTCATCTCTAACTTCAGCTCTTACTATATATAGCCTTTGAAACTTCATCTCTAACTTCAACTCTTACTATATATAGCCTTTGAAACTTCATCTCATTTGACTTTGACTTATGAACTTCACATTGTACTTCATCTCATACTGCATCTCTAACTTCATCTTGCTTGACTTTTGACTTGTGAAGGCTTTGACTTGCAAACTTCATCTTGCCTCTGGCTTTGACTCATCTCATACTGCATCATCTCTGGCTTTGACTTGCAAACTTCATCTCATACTGCATCTCTAACCGCATCTCATGCTTCGGCATCTCTAACCGCATCTCTGGCTGGCTTTGACTTGCAAACTTCGTCTTGCTTGACTTTTGACTTGTGAAGGCTTTGACTTGCAAAACTTCATCTTGCCTCTGGCTTTGACTAATCACATACTGCATCATCTCTGGCTTTGACTCATCTCATCTCATACTGCATCATCTCTGGCTTTGACTCATCTCATGGTGACTCCTTTGACTCATCTCATACTGCATCATCTCTGGCTTTGACTCATCTCACACTGCATCATCTCTGGCTTTGACTCATCTTATACTGCAACATCTCTGGCTTTGACTCATCTCATCTCATACTGCATCATCTCTGGCTTTGACTCATCTCATACTGCATCATCTCTGGCTTTGACTCATCTCATCTCATACTGCATCATCTCTGGCTTTGACTCATCTCATGGTGACTCCTTTGACTCATCTCATACTGCATCATCTCTCTGGCTTTGACTCATCTCATGGTGACTCTCCTTTGACTCATCTCATACTGCATCATCTCTGGCTGGCTCTCATCGCATACTGCATTTGCTTTGACTCATTTCATACTGCTGCTCTGGCTTTGACTTGCAAACTTCATCTCACATCTCATCTCTGGCACTTTGACTTGCAAACTTCAGCTCACATCTCATCTCTGGCACTTTGACTTGCAAACTTCATCTCACATCTCATCTCTGGCACTTTGACTTGCAAACTTCATCTCACATCTCATCTCTGGCACTTTGACTTCATCTCTGGCACTTTGACTTGCAAACTTCATCTCACATCTCATCTCTGGCACTTGACTTGCAAACTTCATCTCACATCTCATCTCTGGCACTTTGACTTGCAAACTTCATCTCACATCTCATCTCTGGCACTTTGACTTGAAAACTTCATCTCACATCTCATCTCTGGCACTTGACTTGCAAACTTCATCTCATCTCATCTCTGGCACTTTGACTTGCAAACTTCATCTCACATCTCATCTCTGGCAAACTTCATCTCACATCTCATCTCTGGCACAGAGCATCTCATACTGCTGGCTTCTTTAATTTTGCCTTATAAAATTATAGAGAATGAGTTTCAAACCTGAGACCTTGGGGTTTATTCATCAAGTTTTCATCCATCTCACCTGTACGGATTATTAGTTATTGTAGCATTCTCCTTGATGTACTTCTTTCTTTCCATAGATGCTTGATCTCCAAGATAACTTCATGCAATCTCGTTTGCTTCTCGTTTCTTCGTATGAGATTATCAGTATGACTTCTTCTTTGAGTTGGGGTGTATGGGCTTATTTAAGTATACATATCATATGCATACATCTCCTTCTTCTTCTCCTTCTTCTTCTTCTTCTTCTTCTTCTTCTTCTTCTTCTTTTTCTTCTTCTTCTTCTTCTTCTTCTTCGTATTTTTTCCTTTTTCTATATTTGTTAATTTTCCTTTCATGGTCTGTGACACACTTAGACTTAACAAATAAAATTAGAGATTCTAACATACAATTT